ACCCCCCTCCACATTGTTTTGAAGCAAATCCCAGATATTATAACATTTCATCCATAAATATTTCTGAATGAATTTCTAAAAGATACAGACTGAAAATAATGTATTTCTGGCTGGACGCAGTGTCTCAGTCTGTAATCCCAGCACTTTGGGAGGCCAAGGCGAGAGGATTACCTGAGCCCGGGGGTTCGAGACCAGCCCAGGCAACTTGGTGAGACCTCATCTCTACAACAAATCACAAAAACTAGCTGGGCATGGTGGCATGCATCTGTAGTTCCAGCTACTTGGAAGGCTGAGGTGGAAGGATCGCCTGAGCCCAGGCTGCAGTGACCATGAGCGCGCCACTGTACTCCAGCCTGGGTGACAAGAGTGAGACTCCAACTCAAAAAAAAAAAAAAAATAGGAAATAATGTATTTCTTTCTTTCCTAACTTCACCAAAATATCCCAAATAAATGAACCCACTGAATCAGTAAAGAAACTCATCTCATCAAGAATGTTTCCAAATGAGCTCCAAATTATTTTACTATGAGATGTTCTTTTTGAGTCATTCATCTTGTTAGAGTCCTTTGCTCTCTCAGAGGTTCTCTTATGAATACTAATGTTCACTTTTATCTTACATTGTCCCTTCTGAGAAACATTCTAGAAGATAGCTTCCTCTGAGAATATGGGGAAGGAAGAAAAAGTGAACCTCAAGTCCTTAGGAACATGAGTCCAAGAAAGAAGTCAGAAAACAGTACATTAACGGAGTGTTTGCTCTCATTGTTTTAAAGAGACCCTCCAGAAAGCACTGAGTATAAAATAGATAAATAGGCATTTAAAAAATATGAATGGGCAGCTACCGAACACAAATCTATGTAGGATGCTAGATGTACTTGGTGAAAGGTCAAATAAGGGCACTCTCCAGCAATACAGGAATAAATATAAGAAAATGGGTAATTATGATGCAACCAGAATGCAGACGACAAGGGAAGGGGAACAAAGAGTTACTGAGGTCTCTAAGAAGGGCATGAATTAGTTTTTTCTTGAGTGGAGTCATTGAGAAGTGAGGAGACTCAGGCCCGAAAACATGACTTTTCTGGACCATACAGAGGTCAGCCCAGGGAAAAACCTAACCTTCCTACTTCTAATCTATTATAATTTTTCACCCCAAGAAGGACTGGAAGTGCTAGATTGTCAACATTTCATGCTACCACAATAAAAGTTTTATTGTGTTTCTTAAAAACGGGCTTTGACAGTCTAATAGAATTTTGATAAATGGAAAAGCATACATTATTCTGGGCAAAGAAAACAGCACAAACAAGTTTATGTGATATATTCCAACAAAATGAGCTACCTGGCTTGGTTGACGTACTGGGACAACCATAGGAAGTGATGGGGAAATAAAGGTAGAAAGGTAGGTTGTAACAACATTATAGAAGAACTTGAATACCAGGTCAAGTTGTTTGCCATAAGGCTGTAGAATGACAAAATTCATCATCTAAAGCCAATGGGTTAAGAAAACACCATCATTTGGGGGTCCATTGGAATGAATATGGATTATATTTTTTATAATTTTGATCTGTTTTATTTGAATTTCCTGCAGCTATTATTACTAATAAGAATGCTTAGAATAAGCATTTTTAGAAAATTACTAATAAAACTAATTCTAAAAATTAGTAAAATTGGCAAATTTACTAAAAATTAGTAAAATTACTAAAAATTATTTTTCTCTAAAGAAAGGCATTTTATTTTTTTTAGATTAGAAAATATAATTTATTTAGAAAGTAAATTTGAGAGAGAAAGAGGAGATTCATCTCCCCAAGGTAGGGGAGGGGGCCAAAGCTTAAGAAACATGACCTGGCCATAACTCAAAGAACATATGGCCACACCATAGCTTAGGAAGGCAATGGCCACAATGGCCTGGCAATGGCCAAAAAAGCATTTTCTAGAAGAACTTTCTACTAGCTTGAGAGACAGGGGAGTGAGGGAGCATATAAAAGGGTGGCTGGTGGGGAGTTGTTCAAAGGACCAGAGGAGGAGGTGGAGAGTACAGCTACAGTTCTTTTCCTAAGTGGGATTATTGAACAATGAGGAAATGGAGGCCTGAAAACATGACTTTTTCAGAGTCACACAGAGGCCAACCCAAGATAAACCTGGGTTGCATGGGTGCCGGGCTTCTCCCACAGAGCTGAGACCTAGAAGAAGCAGGTTGAAAACTGGTGTAATCGGTCACAAAGGACAGCCAACAGGCTAGTTCCGGGGTACAACAGAAGAAATGGTACAGAATACAGAATGAAAAACCTTCAGGGAACCTACAGAGAACCTATACATTTCCTCAGGAGCATCTGACAAGAGTTTCTAGCATGAACCCTGTTAACTCCTGTTCCTTAAGGGGTATCAAGACCATGGTGAAAACCACTCAGTCACATATCCTAATGAGACAGAATGAAGAAGTCCTGTTAGAAATATAAGGTAGCACATTTCTTCGCCAAAACTCCACTTTCCAGAAAACTATGAGTGACTATTAAGATCAAAATATCTAAATTTGGTATACGAACAGTGGTTGTGAAAAGGGCCTATCATTTGAAGCTAGACAAATCTGAATTTGAATTGAAATTATGACTTACTAGCTGAGTGATCTTAGGTAAGTTTTTAACTCTGTCAACTTCAGTTGCTCATGTATAAAAAGCAGGGAATATCTACCACTCAAAGTTGTAGTGAGGATTAGTAGTATGGCATGTGAAAATGCTTTCCTACAAAGCTCTTGGTGCACAACTAATCTTTGTTTCTTCCTTCTTCTTAGTGAAGTTAGTGCCAGATAAAAGGGAAATTACTAATAACCCAACATCCTGTAAGCTTCCAAATTCAACTTCCTTTATTGAAACTTCATAAGAACTGCTATGCAATAGCAAAATAAAATCATTTCCTTTTTCTTTCTTTTTCTTAGTTACTCAGTAAGACAGGTACTAGTGAATGGGGGAAAAATGTCAGATACACACACTTAAAAGGAAGAATAGTAACAGGTCATAAAACTCAATGGTAAAAAGAAATATAAATCCATTTTTAAATTGGTAAAATATCTGAGTAGACATATTTTCAAAGAAGATACAGAAATGGTCAACAAGCACATGAAAAGATGCTCAACACCATTACTCATTAGAAAAATGCAAATCAAAACCTCAATGAGATATCAATTTGCACCCACAAAGATGACTGTAGTCCAAAAGATAGACATGTACCAGTGGGTATGCAGAGAAATTAGAATCCTCATACATTGCTGGTGGAAATATAAAATGGCATAGCCTCTGCCAAAGTCTATTTTGCAGTTCTCAAAACAATAAACATAGAGGTAGTATAAGATGTAGTAATTTAATTTCAGGTATATACCACACAAAATTAAAAACATGTTTGCACACAAACATAAACTAACGTTTATAATAGCATTATTCACAATAGCCAAAAAATAGAAACTCAAATGCCCATCAACTGATGAACAGATAAACCAAATTTGGTATATCAATACGATGGAATATTATCTGGCCATTAAAATGAATGAAGTACTGATATATGTTATGACATGAATGAACCTTGAAAACTTTATGCTAAGTAAAAGAAACCAGGCACAGGAGGTAAAGTGTTATGTGATTCCATTTATATGGAATGTCCAAAATCGGCAAATCTATAGAGACAGAAAGTAGATTAGTGGTTGCCTAGAGATAAGCACGTGGGGGAGGGGAAAATAGGAAGAGACTGCTAACTGGTATGGAGTTTCTTTTTGGAGTGATCAAAATGGTTTAAAACTGATTGCGGTGATGGCTGTACAACTCTGTGAATATACTGAAAGTTAATTAATTGAACAATTTACATTAATGAATTGTTTGGTGTGTGTATTATATCTTAATAAAGATATTTTTTAAAAGACAAAGAAGAATGACGGACTGCCAGATCCTGAAACAGAATTGTCTCAGGTTGCAGGTCAAGGAAGGCACTCAAGTCACACGTCAATGGTCTAGGGCAGGGGTCCCCAAACTCTTCAGCCTGCAAGGAACTGGGTCACTGGGCCACACACACAGCAAGAGGTGAGCGGCAGGCGAGCAAGCAAAGTTTCCTCTGTATTTACAGCTACTCCCTGTTGCTCACATTACTGCCTGAACTCCACTTCTGTCAGATTAGTGGAGGCATTATAGTCTCATATAAGCACAAACCCTATTGTGAACTGTGCATGTGAGGGATCTGGATGTGCCTTATGAGAATCTAATGCCTGATGATCTGAGGTGGAGCTGAGGCAGTGATGCTGGCACTGGGGAGCAGCTGCAAATACAGATTAACATTAGCAGTGTTGTTTGACTCCACATCCCTCCACCCCGCCACCATCTGTGGAAAAATTGTCTTTCATGAAACCGGTCCCTGATGCCAAAAAGGTTGAGGACTTCTGATCTAGAGAGTTGACCCAAGTGACCTTCTCAAGGCACTTAGTGTTATCCTCTTCTTGGGTAGAGAAGTGGCATGAGTACCTGATTTCATCATTTAGTACCTGATTACTCTTTATGGGCATGGCCCTGTTCTGTGGTCTTGACAAAGAGCCATCCCCTCAAATATGATCTAGCCCTAACCTCAATTCTTAGAGAATCAGTGAGACCTGAGACTTCTGATAGACATTGGTGAATTTAGGTCCCAAACCAGTCTGCCTCTTAAACAAAAAGTCTATACACTTTATCCAAATCTTTTGGTTATATAACCTAGAGTTTATACTATACAGGAGGTAGAAAGCCCCCAAATGACTGAATTTTAATTTTCTGACTTTAAAGGTTGCTATTTCTCATGCATCTGAGGTTTATGGTGTCACATTCATACTTGCTATAAGAATATTCATAAGAAAGAAAGAAAAAAAGAAAGAAAGAGAGAAAGAGGGAAAGAGAGAAAGAAAGAAAAGGAAAGAAAGAAAAGGAAAGAAAAAAAGAATATCCATAGAACGGGATCAGAATATGGTAATGCTGAAATTGAAATCTAGTCCAGTACTCACTTCCATACACGGGTCATTGTTCATCTTGATGCAACCTGAAAGATCTGTTCCTGGGTCAGGGCCACCTGTGGGGTCTGGACACCTGGCAGTTAAAAGTTGGAGTTATTTACTACAGATGGAAAAACTGAAAATTTTAGCAGATACTAAACTATAACATAGTTCCCACTCCCCTACCAATTTTATCAAATTTCTAATTAAGTTCATGGCTTAAGTAAGACATAATGAGAGAGAGCTCTCATCTCCATCAGAGAGAGGTTACAAACAACAGAAAATCCAGTCAAAAATGAAAATGAAGAATTTGCAATTCAAAATTATCCTTCCTCACTCTCAATACAGGAAGGAAATTTTATGGATGTACATGGTCCTCACAAATGCCACTGACATTTCTGAATTTTTCCTAAGGAAGATTAGTCTGATACTTAGAAGGGCAGGTGAGGACAAATGAGCCTCAAAAAAGGAGGTGGGGCAGGGACAGGGGTGGTCCACAAACGCCTGTTAACCTTGAATGTGAAAAAAATAAAAATAGGATCAAAACCTGACTAAATTAATTTAGCAGTATATAGTTGATATGACGGTCTCTGCTTCTAGTTCCTGAGACAGAGTTTCTAAAATCCTTTTAGTTAGGGGCGCTAGGAAAATCTTTTGTTCTGATATTTAGTCTCTGACTCTAGCTCCTGTCACAGAGTTCCTAAGACCTTTGTGATTTTCTGAGTGATAGGAGTGTTTGTCACAGAGTTTCTGAATCCCTTGGAACTCCTGGGTGAAGAAGCATCTTTTGCTCTAATGAGGTGACTCTCAGTGGGCTCCTGGACAACCTCAGGATGGAGGTTGGTTACCAGGGAAACCACCCCGTGATTACAGGGTTGGAACTTTCAGTCTTTATCCCCAATCTCTTGGGTGGGAAGAGGGTCTGCAGGCTGAGTTGATCAGCAATGACCAATTTTATCAATCATGCCTATTTGATGAAGCTTCCATGAAACTCCTAGGACAGGGCTGGGAGTTCTGGGTTGATGGGCAAGAACACATCCACATATGGGGAGGGTGGTGTACCCCAACTCCACAGAGACAGACTCTCTTGCACTCAGGACCCTTCTAAACCTCTCCCAATGTATCTGTTCATCTAGCTGTTCATTTGTATCCTTTAAAATGTCTTTTGTCATAAGTGGGTAAATACAAGTTAAGTATTTCCCTGAGTTCTATGAGCTACTCTAGAAAGCTAATTAAACCTGAGGAGGGATTCATGGGAACCCCCAATTTTTAGCCAGTAGGTCAGAAGAATAGGTCACAACGTGGGACTCACAATTGGCACCTGAAGTGAGGGGCAGGCTTGTGGGACTGAGCTCGTAACTTATGGGGGTTATCTGACACTATCTCCAGGTAAAGAGTATCAGAACTGAGTTGAATTAGAGGGCACTCATTTGGTGTCTGCTGGAAAACTGGTTGGTGTGTAGAAAATCCCTTGATGGAAAAAATCACACATCTGGTGTCAGAAATGTCATGTCGAGGGTATAGTAGGCAAAAACAGTTCATTTGTGAGTTTGCTTTCTCCTTTAAGTTGGAAGATCATTATGTGAACTTAAAAAGGAGAGTAGGGAGTGCAGGAACAGAAATCGGTTCCCAAAGACTCGTTAACCTTGTGTGTCAAAGGAATAAAAGTATGATCAAACACTACCTAAGTTAACTTAGTAGTATGAAGTATAGTCCCTAAAACTGGAAAACATCTTAGGTAGTCTAATTTGTCTTTTAAATTTTAGAATGGATATTATGAAATTTTTTAAAATGCAAGGAAACTACACTTCAAGACAACTACAGCCATGTCTTTATTTTAAAACTGTAAAACTTCAGAAAGTTAGAGAAGTTCCACAGCAAAAGTTTCATAATAAGGATATTATGGCTGGTTATTATAGTGGCTCACACCTGTAATCTCAGCAGGCCGAGGCAGGAGGATTGTTTGAGCCCAGGAGTTCGAGTCCAGCCTGGGCAACATAGTGAAACCTTGTCTCTAGACACAAAATCAAAAAATTAGCCGGGTGTGCGCCTGTCGTCCCAGCCACTGGAGAGGCTGAGGCTTCAAGATGGCTTGAGCCTAGGAGTTTGAGACTGTGGTGAGCCACGATCAGACCATTGCACTTCAGCCTAGGTAACAAGAGTGAGAAACTGACTCAAATAAATAAATACATAAATATATACATATATACATACATACACACATACATAGTTATTATCTCAGGATATGTTAATCAAACCGATATAGTTTGGATGGTTGTCTCTCCAAATCTCATGTTGAAATGTGATCCCCAGTGCTGAAAGTGGGGCCTAGTGGGAGGTGTCTGGGTCATGAGGACGGATGCCTCATGAATGGCTTGGTACCTTCCCCGTTGTAATAAATGAGTTCACACTCTATTTCACATGAGAGCTGATTGTTTAAAATAGACTTGTGCCCCCTTCAGTCTCTTGCTTCTGCTCTCACCATGTGACACGCTGTTTCCCCTTGCCTTCTGCCATGAGTCAAAGCTTCCTGAGGCCTCACCAGAAGGCTAGTGTCATGCAGAACTATGAGCCAAAATAAACTGCTTTTCTTTATAAATTACCCAGCCTCAGGCATTCCTTTATAACAATGCAAAATGGACTAATATACTAACAAATGAAAATGTTAGGAAATGGGAATAGGCCACCCATGAAGAGAAGGGCAAGTAAATTTTGCTCTTTTAACTTACTTGTGTTGTTTTGTCACATCCAAAGCACCATCCTTTATTTCTCCATATGTAGGCCTTTCATGCAAAGTATGGGTTTGGTTGGCTACACATGAGGAAGGTTTCAGCTCCAGTGTTGGAATCGCTATAAGACTATCCAGAGATAAGGCATCTGCAATAGAACAAGAAAGAATAAAAATTGAGATTAATTTCTGGTTTAAACTACATCAAAGCATAAACTCTTCCCCTCTTGAAACATCAAACCATTTCTAAAAACCAGAAGTTAACCCAATTCTGTTAACATTTTAATGTAGGTGTCACAGGGCGGTGGAAATGGCAAATATTTAAAAAAGAAAAAAATTGTGAGGAAGTCCAGAAAACCTTTGCACGTTAAGCAACTAAAGGTAACAACAATCTACAGTCATTTGGCAAAATCCAGTCAACTGCCTGTTTTGTAAATAAAGTTTTATTGGAACACAGTTGCACCCATTTGTTCACATATTGCCCATGGCTGCTTGTGTGATGTATCAGTAAAGTTAAGTAGTTACAGCAGAAACAAAAATATCTACTATCTGACCTTTTATAGAACAACTTTGCAGCCTCCCAAAGAGAAAAGTATTAGACATTGTGATTAGAATCCGTCCAAGAGTGGCACAGAAAGCAGGTTAGAATGAGAAACCATTCATTTGGGGAAATTATCTTGTCATGTGTGTTTTTGAGTATAGGAAGCAGCAGAGGTTAATGGGGAAAAAATAAATAGGCTTTAGAGTCAATTAGAAATTTTTAGCTCAAATTCTGACTCTGCCACTTACCAGTTGTGTGATCTTGAATAAATAACTAAGCCACTTTGCGCCTCAGTTTACTTATATATAAAGTGATAGATGACTTTGGGCAAATTACTAACTTACTGTTCCTGTGCTTCCTCATCTTTAAAATGGTAATTCGGCTGGCCTTGGTGGCTCAGCCTGTAATCCCAGCACCTTGGGAGGCTGAGGTGAGTAGATTGCTTAAGCCTGCAGGTTTGACACCAGCCCGGTCAACTTGGTGAGACCTCGTCTCTACAATAAATCAAAAACTAGCTGGGTGCAGTAGCGCGCACCTATAGTTCCAGCTACTTGAAAGGCTGAGGCAGAAGGATTGCTGGAACCCAGCAGCTCAACGCTGGGGTGGTGGTGAGCATACCATTGCTCCAGCCTGGGCAACCGAGTGAGACTCCAACTCAAAAAAAAAAAAAGGAATTTATCTTTTGGGTACAATGTTCACTATTTGGGCAATGAGTATACTAGAGCCCTAATCTTACCATTACACAATATATCCATGTTACAAACCTATACCTGTACCCCTGAATCTAAAAGAAAAGTAATAAAATAAAAAATAATTAGCATCTATGTCATATGGATGTGGTGAGGATTAAATGAGTTGATACATATGTTAGGAGCACAGAACTGTGCCTGACACACAGCAAGCTCTCTTTAAGTGCTGCCACTGTTGCTGGTGGTTGTGGTCACTGAGTTATTGTGAACAAAATATCTCCATAAAGCACTAATCTATTGTCTAACACAAAATGGACATCCCCATGAATAGTGTCAATACTTTCCTCTCTTTTAAATGCTTCACAAGTTGCTCTACTTTCTCTTTATGCCTTCTTAAATTTATTTAGATAATCATCTCATTTCTTTTGTCATTTTGGAACCAGCCATTAACTTTTGCTTTGAAACACATCCAAGCTGTGCTGAGAAAATGTAACTACTTTAAGCATTTCCTAGAATAAAGCTCTTTGTTTTTAGCCTGTATTGAGTAATAGTCCACAATTGGACTCACAACCTGTTTTTTCCTTCTCCAAACTAACATTCTACTGTATCTCAATCTGAATCCTCTTGATTCTTTGGTTTTTGTGTGTGTGTTTTTTTTTTGAGTTGGAGTCTCACTCTGTCGGCCAGGCTGGAGTGCAGTGGCATACTGACGGCCACTGCAGCCTGTACCTGCTGAGCTCAGACAATCCTTGTCTTAGTCTTCCAAGTAGCTGGAACTACAAGTGTGTGCTACCATGCCTGGCTAATTTGTTGATTTACTGTGGAGATGAGGTCTTGCCATGTTGCGCAGGCTGGCAGAGATTCCTGAGCTCAGGCAATCAATCCTCTTGCCTCCACCTCCCAAAGTGCTGGGATTATAGGCGAGAGACGATGTACCTGGCTGAATCCTCTTGTTTCTAAAATGATCTGGCCACCTTTGACTCTTTTTCAAACACTTAAGACATTTTGCATTCTCGATTTTTAAATTTTTGTTTTGTTTGCTCATGTCATTCTTACCCACTAGAATACTTTTTTTCATGCTTTTGCTTTTCTAAATCCAAACTATCTCTTAAGGCTTGGTTCAGCTCTCACTTCTACGGAGTCTTGTCTTACTTCAAAAAGCCCAGACCTTGTCTTCCTATCTGTGGGTTATTTTTGGACTTATTCTTTATTATACGCAATATGTTGCCTTGTGCAATGCAGGTGCTCAAATAAATATTGATAGGCTACATTCAGGGATAAATATCCAAGTATTCAACAATTCTTCCTATACAAATAGGATTCTAATTAATTATTTCCCTTTCAAAAAGCACCCCACCCCCAGCTATGTCTGGAGAGGGGCTATCCATGCTTACCCAGCAGAGGTGTGTACCAGCATGTATGTTTCAAGGTCAGGAGTGTTTGATGTATTCTTGCTTCCTGACCACTATATAAGTTGTGGCAACACTGCTTCTGAACAGAAATCAAGCATTATTAGATGTCTAAAGGAATCTAACAGTGTATTTCATAATCTATTCTCTTCATTTTTAAAGGCAAAAATAATATCACTAGTCTCAAATGAACATGTGAGAGAGATCAGGAAGAAAATAAATTATGCTGAGTAAAAAAGCTTTCACATGATTGTTCAAAAGGTATGCCATATGAGTAAATGATAATTCTTATTTAAATATCACAGTTCAGTAATTTGCCAGAATGCTAGCATCATCAATTCCAAGTAATTGACACTTTGATATAAACAAATACATTAAGGAAAGAGTAATAGGTGAGAGACAAGCTTAGTTATTTTATTCTTCATGACAGTGAAATTTTTAAAAATTTTAATATTGCTATTTCTTAGGACCCACCAGGATTGTGTGTGGTAAATAAAGAAAAGAATTCATATCCATTGCCTCACCTGATAGTCCTTTGATGAAAGCAATATAGTTTAGTGTTCTAAAGCTACTAATACACACTGGACTTAGCTTTCTATTTTGGCATAGTAGTTGACTCACAATTACATAATCATTTCAAAAAGTGTGCACTTACCAATTTTTCTTGAAGAGGTTGTTGAGTTGTATCTGTGCAGGACAGGGGATCACAGTGAGGAAATTCCTCATCTAAAAAGCTCTGTCATGAGAAAACGGTAGAGTGTATTCAAAGACACAACAATGAAAGGGCCGAAGATACAAAACACATTAGACTTCATAGAAGATATGACTCTACTTAAAGTGGGTGAAACTGACCAGTTCTTGAACTTGTATTCTACTCTAAGAAAACACAAATTGTAAGTGTAAACTTCTCGTTATATTTTACCCATTATTCGATCTAGGGCTGAAATCTAAAAATCAGGAACAGGAAACTGAATGGCTTTATCGCTGAAATCTTTAGGCAGAGGCTAAAGATGCTTGTCTGAGACATAACTCAGAGTAGTGAGAATGGTGTCTGAAAATTTTATAGCAATCAAATTGTGGCCTTCATCTAAGAGGTAGATTCATATCTGTCATAGTTATCATAGAAAATTTTGTTGGAGTTCTGGAGATGATTAAAGCATCTTTAAATATGGAAGTTTTTCCAGTTCAGCTTGTTGTAAAAGGCTTTTCAGCCACTCTGATGCCACATGAGCAAATTTTTTGTTTCCTGCTTAAACGAATGAATCTGCATTATGCCCTGGAAGCAAATACATGCCAATATCACCCTTCTTTTTTTTCCCTCCATCCTCTTCCTTCAGTGCCAACCTTGCTGTTCCCTTGTTTATGAAATGTTCTTCGTTTATGAACAAAAAGGAGATTCACCAAGCATCACAAAGGAAAAAAGTACATTCAACTCTACTGAGTATATCTTGGGGTGTCTGGACAGACAGGAGTTAAAAGTTTAATTCAAACAAGAGAAAGAAAAAATAGAGACAGTAACCATCAAAGCCTACTCATGAGTACTCAACATTTCAGCATATGGCTATAAATGGAAGGATGCACCCTTACTGTAAGAAGGTGCCTAAAACAAAAGACTGGCTATTTGCTAATAGATATATTGGCTGGGCAAAGTAAATTCTGAAATGCTCTCTCTTTTTGGAAGATGTTATCAGGATCCGCCTTCTCACTGAAAGTTCTCCGCTCTTGTTTGACTAATTGCTTTCAGTGTCTAAGAGAACAAAGTCCACCAAAGCATTTTTTTCTGATTTCTTTATTTAACATAATGATTAATGACATTATATATTATAAATCAGCTTTAAAACCTGAAAGCAATTGGACATCTTCCCCAAAGTAAGAAATCACGTATCATAGAGGGGTTTTATTTTACCTGAAACAGCAAGCCATGGAGTCCCCTTTCAATTAAATTCTTTCGAAGTGACTCAATTGTTTCTACAAGAGAATGAATAACCAGCTCAATATGACCATTTTTAACCCTTCTTCCCTTAGTGCATTTCATTGTTTCATAAACTTTAATGTTTTCATAACTTATAACAACGTGGGGCCTGAAGGAAAGGAAAGAGAAAACAATGACTTCTGAGAATGGCATTCTCAACTTCTGAGTAGGGGAAGATGAAAAAGCAGCCTGTAACAGCTGACCCATGATTACTCTTGGGTATTGGAAATTTACTTTGATAGATGTAAGTGAAATGTCCTCTAGAAGTGACTCATAAATTATTCAATTTTAAAATAAGAATACATTTTAGAGGTCATTGAGTCCAACCTCCTGCTGATGTAAAAATCCTCTCTCCAATAAGTCTCTGCTTGAGCTCTAGAATTACACTCCTTAAATCCCAGAATCCTTAAAGTAGATCAGAGGTCATGAGAACACTGATACCCAGAGGATTGAAATGATAACTGGCAAGTCATGGAGCTGAGATTAGACTCATGTAACAGTGCTCAATTCAGTGTACTATTTTGTGAAATTAAAAATATTTGTCTTTCTAGTTAACTAAAATCTGCTTCCCAGTAACTTCCGAAGTCTTACCCCTGGAATAATGGAAATGGGAGAAAAAGACCTATTTAACTCTTTCATTTACATAATAACATATTATTTATTTGACAACCCATACTCTGAAATATAGCCAAGACCCAGAAAATAAGCTCAAATCTTTTGAGCAACCAAAATAGATACTGATATCCATGCCCTTTATTCATGTGGCAAATCTCACACTTCGACTCAGGCAGTGGGCTCTGAATGTATACATAATTCTCACAAACTTGACTGCTTGCTCAGCCCACAGAAGATTAAAAGCAAAAATTAAAAGAGAATGGGGGAGCTTGCTCGGTGGAAGCATATTAATAGCTACCGCTTTTTTTTTTTAATCACCAACAGCCGAGAAAATTATTAGCAGCAGATACTCTGGTATCCAAAACACACAGAAATCTGGTGCTTCTTATTTTACAGACCAACAGTTTTATATCTTAATAGCCTGGAGAATTCTGAGTCATGAACATAATGCTAATATAGACACTCCATAAAGAAGTGTCTAATTTTTAAAAAGTTTTACAGAAAAAACAGTTTTAAAAGCTTCAATCATATAGAAAATTACTCATGCAAAATTTTATTTATAAGACTTTTTTTTGGTAAAAATAACTTATGTCTCAACTATGTTTGACATAGTATTACTTGGCCTAGTAGGAGAAAAGCATATATTTTTTGTTTTTAAAATCTCCCTCATGTAGAAAAAAACCACATTTTTAACAAGTATTTCTAAACTAAGTAAATAAATTTTTTCTTATTAATTCTTAGAACTCTGATAAAGGTTAGATTTTTAAAAATTCTGTGTTAACTGTATTAAGAAAGGCCGAGTATGGTAGCTTATGTCTAGCACTTTGGGAGGCCGAGGTGAGAAGACTGCTTAAGTCATGGAGTTCAAGACCAGTCTGAGCAACATAGACAGACCTCACCTCCATAAAAAATAAGAAAAAAAAATTAGCTGAGTGTGGTCGTGCACGACCAGCAACCTGGGAGGCCAAAGTGGGAGGTTGTCTTGAGTCCAGAGGTCGAGGTTGTGGTGAACCGTGATCATGCTACTGCACTACAGTCTGGGTGACAGAGTGAGACCCAGTCTCTAAAACAAAGAAAAAAAGCCCTGTCCTCCCTCTGACCTACATTCAGACAATAGCACCCAAAGCTTTCAGAAGCAGTTATCATGTTTCTCAAGGTCTTGTATCTCCAAAATATAAATTCAGAATACTATTCAGATTTCCAATCTAAGCTTGTGTTTCAGAGAAAATAATGAGCTAATATAAGACTGTCTAAATTGTCCATCTGCTTGCCCATCAGGCAATCTTGGGTTTAAGAAACAGTCTATATCAAAGCATTCAAACTGAAAACCTTATTTCAAAAGATGTTTTGTGCAATGTGTAGCAACTATTTCCATATTTTCCACATGACAAAACAAGCTGGCTCATGACCCCAATTTGCATTCACTTTTGCATTCTTCTTTACATGTTTGGAGTCAGACCTATAATGTCTCTAGTACATTTAGGCTTATACAGAAGCAAGCAAAAACAATGGCCACTGTACCCCTGCTGTTGCCATCTGCAATGTAGGATGGGACCAGGTGTCTTGGATACACTGTCTCTGAAGGAAGCAGAGATAAAGCAACATTCTAAATGACTGTACAGTGTGGCTTTCAGGCAAAAGCCCCACAATTAATTGACTGTTGAAAATCAAAACCATAACAGTATCAGAGTGACAGTAATGTTAGCTATCAATGGTGGTTGACAATTATGGAGTATGGCTTTTCATAACACTATATCTTACTGAAAAAAATCTCATGTTCTGTATAATTGTGCATTAAAACTATCAGGGTTCATTTAAAACCACAGAATAAGAGAAGCTAGTCACAGTACACATCTGTAAAAAAAAAAAAAAGTATATCCAATAATAAAAAGACAAACAATTCAATTTAAAAATGGACAAAAGACAGACACTTCACAAAGACAGAACAACAGCCAATCAGCACATGAAAAAGTGCTCATCATTTTTAGTCATCTGAAAAGTACTTATTAAAATCACAATGAAATATCCAGGAGCTTGGCTAAAATGAAAAGGATCGATACTACCAAATACTGAATATGTGGAACACTGCCGGAGGAAGTGAGAAATGCTGTAAACATTATGGAAAACTGTTTGGCAGTTTCTTAAAATGTTGGAGCCACAACTACGCTATGACCTAGCAATTCTATGCCTAGATATTTATTCCAGGTGACATAAAAACATTTGTCCACACAAAGACCTGTACATAGGTATGAATAACAACTTTATCCATTATAAACTCAAACTGCAAATACTTTAGATAACCAATAACAGGAGGAAAAATAATCACATTGTGGAATGTTCATACCAAGAAATACAACTCAACAATTTAAAAAATACTACTGATAAACACAACGTAGATGAAACTCAAAAAATATTATGCTAAAGAAGAGAAGACAAATACATTTTAAAAAGTATAAACTGTATAACTCAATTCTAAATATAGGGTAAGCTAACCTATCAGATAGGTGGATGCTCCTCACGGTGGGGCTGGTGGGGGAGGGGCGTTGACTAGAAAGTAGCACAAGGGAAGTTTCTGGAGTGATAGAAGTTCTGTGTTTTGATGTGCATTTATCTCCCTGGTTGAACAGTACACTTAAGATCTGAACATTTTTTTGACACGTGAAGTGTACATGAATAAGAATTAAAAATTATAAGAACAAAAATAACACAGGGTTTGTAAGAGACACAGGGTTAGAAAGAAACCGCTAAAAAATATGTGACATTTGTAACCAGAGTACTAACAAACACAATTACTAAATTACTAACACCTAGAGAGATCAGGATCTCTCAGACACGCATCTCACAGGATACCAGAAAATGCACAAAACAAGAACATGGAAATGCCGGTGACACTTAAACTGGAACAGTGCAGGTGGGGCACAAAGAAAAATGCAGATGGAGGTGAACCCCTGAGGCAGTTGCGGAGGGAGGAGATCTGCTGCAGGTAAGGATCCTGCAGGGCTGGGGCTGCAGGTCTCTGGGAAGGGAAGCCCAGGTGCAGAAACTTGTCTTTCAATTTTCTCAAAATAAAGCTGAAAGGGCTCCTGCTGCCTAACTGGCAGCAGCTAAGAGCCTTTTCCTTTGCTGCTGAAGGTGAGTGTTCTGCCGTTCCAGATCCTATTCCCAAGAAAATGATGAATGGAACGATGTAACTTCCACACTACATCGCCAGCTCATTCCTCATTTACCATTCGCACATGAAGTAGTTCATGGTATAGAAGCGTGTTGCAGCGAAACACATATACAACTATAGCCAAGTACTAGCTACTGTTTGGTATTTGTTGCATTATTTATAATGCACAACAACTGCATCTAACGAAAGAGGGTACTGAGGCTCAGAGAGGTACAGAGATTTGCCCAACTTTACTCAGTCACTCTTTTGTAGGCTTTGAGTCAGAATACAGGTTTGTTCAACTTCAAATCCCATGCTCTTTATCAGCATACTATACTCCCTAGATTATTTCATCCACACCTGCATTTTTCATTTGGGAAAACTTGGGCTCCCATCCCATGAGAGCTATTGAGCAAGCAATAATTGCCTTTAGTTTTCTCCTTGGCCCACCCCAAAACTTTCTATCTTTAAGTTTCTCAATCATCTGGACCCACCCCTCCCCTTCTTTGGCCTCTTATCATCTTGTTTACTGACAGCTCAGGACACGTGGCTTTTATCTTGCATCCATCTTCAAAGCCTTAAGGCTTTTACGACTCCCACACATCATACCCTCTGTGTTAAAACGGCAAACTAGAAGAGAGTTTTCAGTGAAATCATCTAGGTGACAGCTTTCTGTAAACTATGAAGTTCGTGTGCAGATACTATGTTCAAATAAGAAATTATGATATAAAGGAGCTTCTCAGAATATCTTCCCGAGGAAATATTTATGGCTCCTAAAGGTAATTCCCTCATTGTCTTTTAATGACAATGAAGCTGACTCAATGAAGCTTTCATGTCAGATAGGGATAGGAGATGTTGAATAGTAAGGGGGTGATAGTTTGGGTTAATCAATTAATCTATGATTTCTGTATATCAGGTTCATCCTAACATGTTATATGCATACCCTAGATCTAAAAAACGTTTTTAAAAATTCCCTTTTAAAGAAAACACCCATTACAATCCAGTATTACCAATGTTAACAAGATACTTAGATACAAGTAAAGTTTAAAAGCAGAAGAACGAAAATATATAAGAAGCCATTCAAGAAACTGAACAGTTCTAATGGCACACTTCTTCGAGGCAAGCGTACATACTAATCACCTCATAAATCAGCCCAGTCCTGGTGGCAATTGAAAACTTGAACAGTATTATTTATTCAACCTAAAGTTCAGGATTTCTAATCAACGTCATAAACAAATTTCTAGTTTAAGTCTGTAAACATTTTTTTTGGGGGGGTGTTAGAGTCTCACTCTGTCGCCCAGACTGGAGTGCAGTGGCCGCTCCTGGCCACCGCAGCGTCGACCTGCTGGGCTCTGGCGATCCTTCCGCCTCAGTCTTCCGAGTAGCCAGAATTACAAGCATGCGCTACCACGCCTGGTTGATTTTTTGATTTATTGTAGAGATGAGGTCTCACTGCCCAGGTGGGTCTCGAACCCGCGGGCTCAGGCAATCCACTCACCTCAGCCTCCCAAAGGTGCGGGATTACAGGCTGAGCCACCAAGCCGACAAACATTCTACACATTGATCTGAACATTCAGATTAACCAACCCACACAATTTGTTGATGAACCTTCTTAGATAGAGCTATCTTACACTGGTGACTTCTAAATGGGAGAGGGAGAAAGGGGACCAAGAATTGAAAACTACCCATTTGGTACTATGCTCATCACTTGGGCAACAGGCTCAATAGAAGCCCAAACCTTACCAACACATAATATTCCGATGTAACCTGCACATGTACCCCTTGAATCTAAAATAACTTTTTTTTTTTTTTTTTGAGTTGGAGTCTCACTCTGTTGCACAGACTGGAATACAGTGGCCGCTCCCGGCCACCGCAGCCTCGACCTGCTGGGCTCCGGCGATCGATCCTTCCGCCTCAGCCTTCCAAGTAGCTGGAACTACAGGCGCATGCTACCACGCCCGGATAATTTTTTGATTTATTGTAGAGATGAGGTCTCGCCTGCCCAGGTGGGTCTTGAACCCGCAGGCTCAGGCAATCCACTCACCTCAGCCTCCCAAAGGCACGGGATTACAGGCTGAGCCACTGAGCCCGGCTAAAATAACATTTTTTAAAAAAGAAAGCAATTGTCTTACATACTTAGCAAATTTATTAAACTAGCCAGAGTTGCAGAAGAGGTGAATAGGTTTAAATATTTTTGTTTTCTGGCTCAGAATTCAGATGTCTGACTTATGATTCAAACAGCATGGGGAGGCAGAGGTCATGGTGGAATGTGTGAGGAGATGCTTGTGTGGTAACTGTCCTACTCATTGACATTTGTTTATGGTCTGGAACATCTGCTATAAAACATTTTGATAATGTGTGCTTTCTAATCTTCCATCTTCTCTCCAAGCTTGACTTTAGGGCATTATTAGAAAGATCTTCATAAACCAATGGTCTTATGAGCAAAATTGAGATAAATATGCCTTCTTTGGGCAGAAAAAGATACAATACAAGGGATTTCATAAATCTGGGTAGGTTTTAAGCAACTCAAGACAGAAAGGAAGTGTCCACCTCACTTCATCCAGGCAGAAAAAAACATGTATTCAACTTATGTCAGCTTTCATATTCTTCTTTTTAACAATATTTTAATCAATTATACCCTGGAGATTAACTGGGAAGACAAGAGCAAGTTTCTAATACCAAGAACATACATTTGGAGGTAAGTTAATAAAAGTTGACTCTCCCGGGAAGGTACCACAAGGAAGTCATGGGGGAAGAGAGGGACATAAATTCTTAGCAGCTCATAAAACCATGGGGTATAACATTGATTTAATCAAAAGATAAACATAACTGGAGCAAATGATTCGTTCTCTGAGCACAGTGTTTAAAGCAGACACACCTTAAACCAAATTTGGAATATCTTATGATTCATGTTTCAATGTGAACAGTTCTAGTCACACGGAAACCTTCTCCAATGCCCTATAAGCAACAGTAAAATAACATATAGTCTATGTAATTTAAAGCATACCTTACATTGCCTGACAGAATGAATCACAATAAACTCATACTTAGAAATATTGAAAACTGGCAAGTTCATAATGTTAAAAATAACAATAAGATGTTGAACAACCATTTGCTATTTTAAAACTAGACAATTTCTTAAACTTTCAAGTAGCTTCCTCAGATAATAGTAGAAAGGATATAATAAATCCAAAACAAACACAAATCTGAAAATTTTCATCTCTAGTTTACCTTTTGCTTATATTTAGTTGTTTATTACCCAAACCAAATAGCTTTCTATAAAAAGAACATTTATACTGCTAGCACGAGAAACTGGCTGAACAACAGCAGTTGTCTGATAAATGACTAAATAAATAATGCTTTATTTTTACCATACTATGTTTCTAGAATGAAACTGGTTTACAAATAATGTGATATCTGTGATTTGACAAAATTGTTTTCTCATATAAATCCTTAGTAAATGCTTATGCATTTTTAGATTCAGAAAAATGACAAATGCTCCAATTTTAAATGCAAAATATGTATATAGAGAATGCACTGAGATTCAAAAGGAATTTTTATATATATTTAAGATGTTACTACACATCAAATTCATAATTATTTTGCCCAATTCCTGAAAATCACCACTTAAAAGAAAATAGAGAAGCAGGGCCTTTTCTAACACATAACGGGTAAAAACTAGCTAATAAAATCGGAGTAGACTATGCAAACAATTTGCAAGTTCAAATATCCCATGCACGCAAGGTTTTTCTCCTTGTTTACTTTTAAAGATATTGGAAATTTTTATGTAATTTTAAAAGAAAAAGAAGTCACAGACAAATCCAGCTTAAAATAAGCAACCAAAAAGAGAAGTTAATGGTTAAATCCACGCACCCAGCCACCACTAAGGAAACCTCTCTGAAAGCCCACAATGTTGCCTTCTCAAACCATCTCATTGTCACAGATTCAGTAATAATAGCCCAGCTGTTATCTAGAAAAATGGCTGTAGTCTTATGCACCTCCTCAGGGTGGACTGAATCAGGGCACAAATGAATATTTGCTACTCACTTTTCAGTTTTCTTGTCTTCTGCTCAAGCGTCTGGCAAGTATTCGATAATTCAGTATTTATAGTTTGGAAGTTCCGTTGCTCTGAAATTGCTTCCTCTAATTTGTGCTGTAAAGACGCAGCTTTTTCACTGGCAGAGTGGGCTGCCCGATCTCGATCCTTAATCTGGATATGGATAGTAATACTGGATCTTAGCAGTATGGCCAGGAAAGGAAGCAACCAAACGCTCACTCTGGTTATGCACACAAAACTGAAAATGTGTTTTTCTTCTCAGGGAAGTGATAAGCCTCTCCTGAACTTCTGCAATTCTGTGTTTGCATGGGCTTGGTATGCCTGAGCTATTTCTACCACGGTAAAAGTCCTGAGATGTCAACTTGCCTCTTTCTGCAAAGTTGCCTTTCATCAGCAGGCTGTTGGCACCGCCTCTCTTACAACTCCCCCTGTACTTCCTCCGCTCTCTGCTAGTCGCTAGGGACTCAACTTGCAGTTCCTCTTTGCTTTTTGTTTGTTTGTTTTTGTTTTTGTTTTGTTCCTCCTCCATTTTTATTCCATGGTTTTAAAGACATCTGAGCAGACTTCCCCTGAATACAGTGTGGTCAAGGGCCACCTTACCTGCTCCTTTGGGTCCCCCAGCGGCTGGCTGGCTTCTTGGAGCCTCTTCCTGAGGACAGCTTCCTGGTTGACAGCATCTTCTTGCAGCTGTTTAATGGCTTCTAGTTGTTTCTGACTGGAGTTTAAAAAAAAATAAAGTTCAAACCACAAGCTGTCAGTGACATTTCAACTAAGAGTCACCCTGGGAAACTGTGACAGATTCAAACTTAGCACACTTCCTTAGAGATCAGAGAAAAAAGTGAAAGTATTTACATATATACATATATAAATGCTTCACAAATACAAAGTCTTAAGCAGCAATAATATTGATCACTTAGCTTGATACCCTCATTTTCTCGCATTAAAAAAAAAATCTAGTTTCCTATTTTACCTTGGTATGTTCAGTTCCCCACAAGCTATATTCATAAAACTGAGCACCCGTTGCCAGTTGCTTACATGATGGTTTTACAATGCGGTCAGGGTGACAGGTGCAATATTGATACATCACAGCTAGTTTTACAGAAAAAGAAAGGAAAGGAAAAAAGCGGGGGTGGGAGGAGAAAAGAAAGGAAGAGAGAGCTCTGTTTCATGACCCTAACCTTTTTCCTTAAGAGCTGTCAATCATGGCATAAATACATGCCATGAGTACAGGAAGTACCGCCCCCAAGCACAGATGAACACTAGCTGTTACTTCCATTGCAGTCCTCTCTTAAGTTCTTCCCCTTTCTCCTTCTCCACCACAGATCTTAAAGTGTCATTATGTTACTCCTCATTTGGATCCAATACTAATATCCAAAATACATAAAGATTTATTTGCTCTCTGTTAGCTGATGAGATTATTCAAACTGTGCTACAAATCAGCATATCAATGATTATCTGGAAACTACTTGACTCAAATAAGAATCTTAACTCAAAGGGATAATAAACTTTGGCAGTTTCAAAGCAACGAGGAAGACATTGTTGCATACAGGCCTTTTGCTTGCCTCTTAAACGTTAACACATAGTCAGAATCCCATTGCACACTGGCATAAATCCAGTCCTAGTTATAAGAAGGACCACATGGGAGGCACGAATGATCTCACAGGATGCTTTACCATACTGGTAAAGCAAACAAAATCCTAAACAATAATAAAAAACTACCCACATCCTCACACACATTCTACTGAGCTTTCTTCAAAAGCTTATAGTCAGGTCTATTTTATTTTAACTACGGCAGAAACATTTAACAGGAGATTTGCCTTATTCCCAAAATGTTAAATGTATAATCCGGTGTTGTTAACTATGCTGTTAACTATAGGCATAATGTTGTACAAATCATAGAATGTATTCATCCCACATAACTGAAACGTTACACCTGTTGAATAGCAACCCCTCACTTTCCCCTTCCCCTCCCCCGGGCAGCTACCATTCTCCTCTCTGTTTCTATGAGTTTAACTATTTCAGATACCTCAGATAAGTGGGATCATGCAGTATTTGTCCTGTGACTTCCTTATCTCACTTGGCATAATGTCCTCCAGGTTTATCCATGTTTTCACATATGGCAGAGTTTCCTTAAGGGTGAATAATATTCCATCATATGTATGTACCACATTTTAAAAAATCTGTTCATCTGTGGACACTTACATTGTTTCCAAATCTTGGCTACTGAGGACAATGCTGTAATGAACATGGGAGTGCAAATATCTCTTCCAGATCCTGATTTCAATTCTTTTGAATAAATACCCAGAAGTGGGATTGCTGGATCATATGGTAATTCAATTTTTAATATTTTGGGGAAGCTCCAATACGTTTTCCATAGCGTCTGCCATTTTGTTTTGTTTTGGTTTTTTTTGAGTTGGAGTCTCACTCTGTTGCCCAGACTGGAGTGCAGTGGCCGCTCTCGGCCACCGCAGCCTCGACCTGCTGGACTCCGGCGATCCTTCTGCCTCAGCCTTCCAAGTAGCCGGAATTACAGGCATGCACTACCACGCCCGGCTGATTTTTTGATTTATTGTAGAGATGAGATCTTGCTGCCCAGGCAGGTCTTGAACCCGCAGGTTCAGGCAATCCACTCACCTCAGCCTCCCAAAGGCACGGGATTACAGGCTGAGCCACCGGCGTCTGCCATTTTATATTCCTACTAACAGTGTACACAGGTTCTAGTGTCTCTACATTCTCACCAACACTTGTTATCTTTTTTTTTTAAACAATAACCAACCTAACAGGTATAAAATGATATCTGCTTGAAGTTTCAATTTGCATTCCCAGAAAATTAGTGATGTTGAACATCTTTTCATACATCTATCAGTCATTTATATGTCTTCTTCTGAGAAATGTCCATTCAACTTAACCTCAAACCATTAATAAGTAATAAAAAAAATTTAAAAGAACTGTCTATTCAAAGACATTGCCTTTTTAAATTCAAGTTATTTGGGTTTTTTGTTCTTGAGTTGCAGAATTTTTCTTTCTTTATTTTTGGATATTAACCTCTTATTAGTTACATGGTTTACAAATATTTTCTCCCATTCTGTAGGTTGTTTTTTCACTGTTATTAATTATTCCTTTGCTCTGCAGAAGCTTTTTAGTCTGATGTAGTCTCACGTATCTATTTTACTTTTGTTGGCCGGGTTTTTAGTGTCAGACTCAATAAATCTTGTCAAGACCAACATCTTGAAGTTTCCCCCCATGTTTTCTTCTAGGAGTTTTATAGTTTTAGGTCTTAAATTTAAGTTTTTAATCCATTTTGAGTTTATTTTTGTGTTTGGTATAATATAGGAGTCCAATTCATTATTTAGCCTGTAGATATTCAGTTGTCCCAATACCATTTGATGAGGAGACTATCCTTCTCCACTGTGTAGTCTTGGCACTTGTGTTGATCATATATGTGTTGTTTATTTCTAGGCTCTCTATTCTGTTTCATTGTCTATATGCCAGTACTATACTGGTTTAGTTATTGTAGCTTTGTAATATATTCTGAAATCAGGAAGGGCTATGCCTCCAGCTTTGTTCTTCTTTCTCAAGATTATTTTTGGCTATTCAGGGTCCTTTGTGGTTCCACAAGAATTTTAGAAATTTTTTTTCTATTTTTATAAAAAATAGATTGGGATTTTTTAAAATAGGGATTGCACTGAATTTAAAGATCACTTTGGGTAGTATGGATATTTTTAAAATATTAACTCTTCTAATCCATGAATATGGTATGTCTTTTTATTTATTTGTGTCTTCTTTATTTTCTCTCATCAATATTTCATAATTTTCACTATGTTTTCCACTTTTGGGGGTTTTTTGGTTTTGTTTGTTTGAGTTGGAGTCTCATGCTGTCATCCAGGTTGGAGTGCAGTGGTATGCACATGGCCATCACAGCCTAGACCTACTGGGCTCAGGGAATCCTTCCGCTTCAGCCTTCCAAGCAGATGGAACTACAGTCATGTGCCACCACATCCAGAATTTTTTTTTGTATATATATTGTAGAGATGAGGTCTCACCAAGTTGTCCAGGCTGGTCTTGAACCTCTGGACTCAGGAAATCCTGTCACCTCTACCTCCCAAAGTGCTGGGATTATAGATATGAGCCACTGCACCCAGCTGCTTTTCACTTTTTAATCTAAAGTTCCTCCTAATTATTTTATTCTTTTTTTATGCTACTGCAAATGAGATTATTAGTTTCTTTTTCAGATAGTTCACTGTTACTCATATAGAAATGAAATACATTATAGTGGGTTGATTTTTTTTATCCTGCAACTTTGCTTAATTTGTTTTAGCAGGTTTTTTCAAATAAAATCATTGGGGTCTCCTATACATAAAACCATTTTGTCTACAAACAGAGGTAATTTACTTCTTCCTTTTTTATTTGTATGCCTTTTATTTCATTTTGTGGCCTAAATGCTCTGGCTAGGACTTCAAGTGCTATGTTAAATAGAAGTGACAAGATTAGGTTCTCAATCTAACAGGAAACGTTTTTCAGCTTTTTACCATTGAACAATATTTACTGTGGATTTTCATGTGACTTTTATTATGTTAAGGTAATTTCCTTCTATTTCTAGTTTTTTAAGAGTTTTTACATAAAGGGCTTGAATTTTGTCAAATGATTTTTTTGCATCCTATAGAGATGATAATGTAATATTTATCCTTCACATTAATTGATTTGTATAATCCGAACCATTCTTGCATACTAGAGATAAATCCCATTTGGTCATGGTGTATAAGCCTTTTAATATGTTCGTGGGTTTGGTTGGTTTATATTTTCTTGAGAATTTTGCACATTCATCAGGGATATTGGCCTAGAGTCTTTTCTTGTAGTGTCTTTGCTTGGCTTTGGTATTAGAGTAATGCTAGCCTCATAAAAAGAGTTTGGAAATGTTCTCCTCTCTTCACTTTTTTTGAAGAATTTCAGACAGATTGAAGTTAATCTGCTTTAAATGTTTGGTGGAACTCAACAATGAAGTCATTTCATCCTGGACTTTTTTTTGTTGGGAAATATTTGATTACTGATTCAATCTCCTTACTAGTTATAGATGTGTTAAGATTTACTGCTGCCAGGCTCGGTGGCTCAGCCTGTAATCCTGCGCTTTGGGAGGCCGAGGTGAGTGAATTGCCTGAGCCTGCGGGTTCGAGATCCGCCTGAGCAACTTGACGAGACCTCATCTCCACAATAAATCAAAAAATTAGCCAGGCGAGGTAGCGCGTGCCTGTAGTTCCAGCTACTTGGAAGGCTGAGGCGGAAGGATCTCGGAGCCCAGCAGGTCGAGGCTGCGTGACTGGGAGCGGCCACTACACTCCAGTCTGGGCGACAGAATGAGACTCCAAATCAAAAAAAAAAAAAAAACAATTTACTGCTTTTACCGGAAAAAGACAAGGCTGTCCATTCTCACCCCTCTTGTTCAACATTGTGTTGGAAGTCCTAGCTAGAACAATTAGACAGGGGAAGGATATCGGGGTATCCAGATAGGAAAGAGGAAGTTAAGCTATCCCTCTTTGCTAACGATATATGATCCTATACCTAAAAATCCAAGAGAATCTGTCAAAAACTTGCTTTCACTGATAAAGGGCTTTGGCAAAGTCTGGGAGTAAAAAATAAACGTGCAAAAGACAATTGCATTCTTTTTTTTTTTTTTTTTTGAGTTGGAGTCTCA